GATAATTTCTAAAATTTCTAAAAGTAATGCAAATAGTACAAATAAATGCCGAAAGAAAGCTTGTTTCATGTTACCATCAAATGTAATTATTACAGAGACACTTTCTACTTCAAAGCAAAATCATAATTTGACAATAAAATACTTTTTTAATTACAAAAAGATTTTCTTTTATTTCAAACGAATCCGACGAGTCGCTGACCGCGCCGAGCGGCAAATTTGAAAAGTCAATGTATTGTTACGTTAAACTTTGAAGTTTTACGCAAAGCGATAACGAAACACTGTGTATTTACAAACAATTTCAAAATTTCATATGAAAAGTTAGCTTATTGTTACGTTTAACGTTGAAGTTTTACGCAAGGCGCCAACAACTGAACAGGAGTTTGAGAATTTTAACGTAGACGCTAAATTTATCGTTGCGTCAAACTAATATCGTTACGGAATGCGAAGCWGCAGTTAACTCGATGCGCTTTCAAAATTTTCTTTCATAAGAAACGCTGATTTTGTCGGTTGTGTGGCCAACGTAATACGTACGAATTTTCAATCGGAACGCACTTTTCAAGCTTAGAAAATATAAGTATTTATGATCACCAAAGAAAGCCTTTTAGGATCTTTCTGTTTTAGCAATGAAAAACTTCACGGATAAATGTCTGATACTTTTGACGTCTTACGTGGACGCGTCCCCAAAAAAATGATTAAAATTCATTCATTTCGTATGACTTTGAAGTTTTTGCGAAAGAGTCACAACTCCTTTTGCGCTGATGTAGCTAGTCCGTCCGAAGGGAAGCGGCCATTGTTTTACGCGTCCCAAAAACAAGACAATTCATTCATTTCGTATGACTTTGAAGTTTTCTGCGATGGAGGCAGAACTTCTTTTGTGCCTGATGTACTAGTCCGTCTGAAAGGAGGCGGCCATTGTTTTAGCGTAATTAGCAACACACTGCCACCATATTGAATACTAATTTAGATAAAAACATTTGAGAGGTATCTTTGATATCGAGTTTTTTCTATGCAAAAGATTTTGTGAAAGAGTTAAAAAATAATAATACTTGTATATAACATCATAAAATAGACTGAAAACTTACAAAAGCCTCCGTTAAATGCCGTACTAGCGTTTCAGTAAAGTAAGTTTTTTTTCTTGCGCTATATAATCTATTATTAGTCACATAATCATTCATTAATCTATCTGCGCATAATTAAACCCTTAAAATTATATAGACATATTGTTTAACAAGYAATATTTGTAGATTTTTTGTTAAACAACTGATCTACACAATGCCAAAGTCAGCTGGTTGTTTCAAAAAWTGACCTTAGTATCAAACGCTCAAAAGAAAGCATAGTCCTTAASTCTGAAGTSAGTTGCGTTGACCACAAAAATTACTTTTTCAATCACTCTTTCCTAAAGTGTGCCGCACTGAAAAAGTACATAATATTTTTTGCTTTGTTATTGTGTTCCTTAAGTTTTGCTTTTCAAAGAATAATGGACGCTGAAACGTGCTATTATGCATTTTTGAGAATTTTTGTAAATTAAATTCGTATATCATATCTTTAAACAAATGAATCAGTTGTGAGCAATATACTTTCTTACACAAAATATCCCAAAGTTGGTCATGAAATAACTTAAGTTAAAAAATCATTTTGTATTTATTGGTAAACATTTGAGCAATAAAAAGTAATTTATGGTTTATATACCGGAAATGCTCGAATCCTTTTGTAAGGAAGAAGCAAGTTTTTRATCTAACAGGATATGCGTTAACTTCCGTCAAAAAATGTGCTCTTTTTAAATCTACATCCTTGTGTATATATTGTCATACAAAAGAAATAATATTTTTGAAGATAAAGTGTTTGAATTAAAAGTGAATCTTAAAAAATCGTGAAAAAATGTGAAGACGTGCGCGTCATTGCAATTGAAGTCATTTTAAAAGAGTTTGACTCAAACTTTTCGCCTATTCTTTTCATCGAAAAAATTTGTTCGCTTTGTTTGCTACATCTTCTAGATTCACTTTGCCTTTTATTTGTCAATTAGACCTTCGAGTTACAAGATTCATAGGTCTAGAACAATGGAAAGGCGTTGAAGTGTGTTTTGCGTTAGCTCAATTGTTCACCATTGTCAAGCGTGTTTGTTACCAGTCAAGCATTATGAAACACCACGCGAATATTTTACCAGCAAGATGCGAGTCAAAAACCTTCCTTCAACTATTACCATTAAACTCTAGAATATCTAAATTTTTTTAGATAAACATAATCAATTGTTTAAAAGAAAGAATAACTTATAAAACTAGACTTTTTCGGGAAGTTAATAGGACTCTGAAATTGGCATATTTGAAATCAAGTACAATTGAGTTCATTAGAGTGAATGCTAATTAAGGAACATTAAAATACAATTTTACTAATTTTTTTGAATTGTGAACCTTCTGTTGAGATATGTACTGCTTGAAGTAGTGACTAGACTTTCACGAATTTGTTCAGAACAAATCAGATTTGTCGGGAAATATATGAAATACTGTATGACTATTTTGCTGTCCAGACACTAGTTTTTGTTCTTGTGACGAATAGAACTTCGAGCTTGCAACTTGGCCAGGAAATGATGACTTTTCAAGGAAAAGATCTCTTGGACATGATAAAACAATTGCCTTAAGCGAATTTTTAATATAAAGAAKTAAGAGAATTCCTATTTATAATTGTTCATTTCTAAGAGAAATTTACTGATTTAGGGTTTTTGCTGTCGATGGCAAAAACCGAAGATATATAAACTCACCCAAATTTCCTCTCGACAACACAACTAAATTGTTCTACCCGATTTATATTAACTTCAAGGACCTAGGTTTTAGATATATAGRATGAATTTCTTATAGAGAGCAAAGCGAGTTTTCCGATGAACAATTTTAGCGTCATGACTTACCATTTTCAAGAGATTTGTCATCTATCGCACCGTTCGTCCAAATGCCATTGCTTTCTACTCCATTCTCGTATGCTTGTCCATTGACTTTCATTTCAGTCTCGACAGTCCTCTGTTGGCGATAGAGAGCTATACGAACAGCAGTTTGTCTTTGACCGTCCGTTACAATAACACATTTGCTACACATACAGTCTTTAAACCTGCATTGGTGCTTGTGTCCTCGTAAATCTGACAATATATTATGATTTCTACAGCGACGACACTTGGGAGCCCTTCCCGAGGAATGATTTTTATCGAGGCCAGAGCCATCAAACGAATCTTCACTCATGTCGSCCGGGTACATTCTCGAGRCCCCAACAACGTACTTTTTGTCAATGAATGTAAAATTTGGCAACTGCGTTCACGTGGGACAGCGCTGGACTGGCTTGAATCCCTAGGGAGGCACAGTCTCTTTTCACCTCGCATCTTTATTGTTCAATTGTTCAGCGCTACATCGTCACACAAGGGAGGTGTTAGGTTGAATTTGCAMGTACGCAAGAAGGAATTTTCTCAAAGAACACCGCTCGAAAAGACTCCGCACTCWAGTTACTTCAAAAAGAGCGACCAGAAAAAKAACTTTAGTCAAATTTGTTCAAGCGGTCTCATGAAAAATACACGGAATTATTGAAAGGAATCTTAAAGCTTCCAGTAAAAATGTAATTTTTCTGACCAGTACAACACTACATACCGTGGAAAAACAACTTCTCTATACCAAAAAGTCATGTTGATTACTTTGATTATAAAGGTTTTCACGTTATATCAGACCAGGTTAACGAAACTTTTGACATTTAACCGAAGCGAACATTTTACACCTCGGACATTTTCCTCTACCTTAATTATCTCCGCGTCATTTCCGATGAACGTCCAACCTCAGAATATCAGTATTTATTTATCTTTATACAATGTACCAATTATGATTTTATTAAAACTATTTCTCTGTAAAAAAATACAGAGGCAGTTCACACTCAATACTCGAAAGATCTGTTTCTTTGCCCCTAATAAGGTATAACACAACGACTGTTACCATTGTACGATGGAAAAAAGCAATAATGATTTAGTTGTGTGGGTAAAAACATAAATTTAACACCGTAAAAAAATAGATGAAACAACTTACTGACCTTTCGGACGTTAATCTATCGTCGGAGTAAAGAGATGAGACTATTTTTACCTTTTTACACGAATGTTTTTTTAAAAACACCGACGCAGCTCACACTAGTTTACCGCTAGTTTAAACCAATCATGATTTCACCCAATAGTGCCATATACAGCTTGACTTAGTCGAGTACATATAGCTATTTTTCTCTATGTAAATCTGTTTTGACTAACCGGAGTATTTTGACATAGGTGACATCTTAGTTCCAGTTTCCCAAAAAGGGAAGGATCATTCGCAAGAATATGAAAACTGACTTATTCCAAAAAGAAACAAGACTTGTTCTCTCTTTACTCCGACGAAGGATTAACGTCCGAAACGTCATTAAGTTGTTTAACCTACTTTTTTACGGTGTTAACTGTTTCTTTAAAACACCGACTCAGCTCACACTAGTTTACCGCTAGTTCCATAGTTACTATGCTAGTTCCCACCATTTTGTTCTTATTTCGAAGTTTCCAGTAATAGAATTGTAGTAACAAGCTCAGTCTCATTAAAGCCGACGATACACAAGCCGATTTTGTACTTGCACGAGCCATTTTCATCACCAATTGATATCCGACATCATGGCTCCGAAAATCGCTCTGAACATTTATCGCCTTGGCAGCAGACTTATTAGCAATTTTGATTGAAATTCGCTCAAGGTACAAAATCACACCAATAGTGTGTATTTGACTTAAGGTTTTCTTGAAGTTTTTAAACTTCAAAAAAAAAGTATTTTTTAAGGTTTCCTTATAGTTTAGTCTTGAAATACAATAATTATAATACAGAGAACAACCTTTTATGATAAAATGTACATCGCCAAACTTATTGAGAAAACTTACTTACTTTTTGGTCGCCTGGTGCTGGTTGTACGGGATTTTAACCACAGGACATAGAGGATATTACATGGGCGCGCGGAGATACTGATTTTATCTTCGAGTATTGAAAAGATCTCTCACGAGTGAGCGTAGCGAGAAGATAAACTTCGTATCTCCAAGCGACCATGTAATTTCTTTTTATCATATGATTGTATATGAAAGCAAATTATGTCGTAAAATACTTTTTTACTTACAGCTTTTACTATTTAGAGAAACCTCAAATGTGTTAGAGTGCTCGCACTTAAAGCGTGAAACAAATAGTACTAATTAC